TACTTCAGTCTATCATAGACGGCTGTGACAGAAAGAACGATGAAAAGGAAAATTTCCTCATCAGTAATAAAGCTTCTACTGTTCCACAAAGTTCCACTCTGACTCTAAGGTTGTCAGAGTACATAAACAAATTGGCAGTTAAATTTGCATCTGACATCAGCAGCAGGACGTAATCACCTTCATGTGCGTCTCTCAGTGGTCGACTCTCTGCAGCTCGGTGGTGCTGCTGTGTCTGCTGTGCAGCTCGGGTGAGTCTAAGCTTTAAAATTTGTTTACTGTGATTCATTGGGGAGAAACGAGGACCTCAGAGTCCATCCAGCTCAGAGACTCTGAGCTGGAGAAGGGACTCACAGCTGTCACATCTCTGGCAGCTGTGAGATTGGATTAGTCCTTCTCTGAGTTTTTAGAGGACAGAATAAAGATTTCAGTGAGTCTGTGAACTTTTATGGTGGACTTTTGAAGGCAGGATCTTTTGTTGTATTCATCCTACTCAAGCCTGTTTTCAGTTCCCGCTACTGAGACTTGTATCTGAGACTTGATCCCAGGTGTGGATCTCAGTGTGGAGCTCAGACCTCCAATCACAGCCACTGGGTTTGGATTTGCTTTGTTCTCTTTGGTTCAGTTTGTATCCATTTCAGTGATGATAATGTTGTTACTGTTTGAGCGGTCTGCATGATTCAGTAGTTATAGTTATATTTCCTGAATGTACACAGTTCAGCTGAAGAAAGTTTACAAAGCATGTACAGCAATGTACAGAGTGAAGAATAACTGGAGCCTTTCTGCAGATCTTTGTAATCAACACAATCAACACGAACATAAATCCCACAAACATATAGACAAGTCAGTTAGTGAAGCTGTAGGGAACACCGGCTCCCTTGATGCCTCCTGTGTGCATTTCAACCCTCAGTGGTATCAAATAATATTACTGTACTTATTTTTTCCCAGTTTTTTGTAAAATGATACATTTAAAAGCTATATTATTACCATCAATCATTATATTTTAGCACTAAAAATGTAAATTAGATTAAAGAGCTTGTGCATGCTGGTGGGTGGTCGTCTGACACACTGGTTAAGGACATTACATCAGAAATAGAGTAGAAGTGTAGACGGTTGGTGCTACAGACAAACATATTTCTTGGTTCCACATTGCTTCCTGTCATTACTCCACATTAAGAGACAGTTTGTAGTGTAGTGTGGACACAGGGATGGTTTAAATATAACTGCCTCCATCAAACTGTGTCCCACGCCTATTTTAAAAACCTATTTTAAAAACCTATTTTAAAAACCTATTTTAGGATATTATCAGGAAGTTGGCTGTTTATTGCTTTATACATATTTTGTGCAGTTAAAAATGAATTGGTGAGTGAATTTAAGTGTTTTTTTTATTTTTAAGAATCATTCATTATGATCTCTCTAACCAAAGTTTTGGATTTTCCTTATTGTCCTTTTTTGTAACATAGATAATGATGATAGAGAGATTTTATACATATAAATGCTCCAAAGCCACACTATCCAGTTCTTCCTGGTGGATCTCGAGATGTTTACAGGACAGATGAGATCATCTCCCCAGCAGGTTCTGGGTCTACCCCGGGGTCTTGTCCATTTGAGTGTGCCCAGAACAAAATCTAACAAAACCACCTCACCTGTCTGCATTCAATGCACAGAATGTGCGAGATTGAGATTTCCAGATTTTTTTATCAAGAATGTCTTCATGTTTACAACCCCTGTAAAACTGGCCTCTCTGCACATTTAGAGAAATTCAAGAGGGTTTGCTAAGTTCTTCACTTTGCACACAGTGAGCTAAAGCACAGAGCTGTGTTGAAGCTGTGCACAGGTAACCTGTAACTCACCTGTCCTGTCATTCTGCAGCCAGCAGCCAGTCTGTGAGGACCGGCTTCATCAGGGGTGAGGTCCTGCTGCCCTGCATCTACTCTGAAAAGCTGTCCGAGCCAGTCACTGCCTTCTGGAGGGACAAGGATGACAAAGTTGTATTGGACATCATCAACAGCAGAGAAGATAAAATAGATGCAAAGTTCACAGGTCGAGTGTTCAGCTTCCCAGACCAATACAAGACTGGAAACCTTTCCATCCTCATAAAGGGCCTGAGGGCGGACGACGGCGGCCCGTACGATTGCAACATCCCCAAAGTGGACTATCAGACCAAGATTACTCTGAATGTCACAGGTCAGTTCAGCAGCACAAGCACTTCATTAGGAACACCTCAGTGTTTGTGCAGCAGCAGTAGAAAAGGATAAGCTGCAGTGATTAGTGAGTAGAAATGGATGGATGAAGGTCAAACAGTCAGACAGTCAGGACAGGTTTCCTTTTTAAGTCTGATTTACTGCAGAAACTGTTCACAGTAAGTGTCGATGAAGCCTCAAGCTCACAAAGAGCTGACTGCTGCACAAAAAGCCTCCTTATGAATTAACTCCCCCTCCCACAAAATGCACAGTGGAGGGGTTAATCAGCAGCATATGTAAGACTATCCCACAGAAACTGTTCTGGCTCTTTTGTAACCATATGTAGAAAAAATAGACATCAGATCCTATATGAAGACATAGCAGCAAGCAAATGTGGAAGGCGGACAAACGTTAACAGATTAAATTTTCATGAGTGGAACCCAATGATCCTTTAGCAGGTGTGGGTGTTTTGTATGATTGTTGTTCAGTTTGTGATCAAACTCAGTCTGCTTAAAGATGTTTTCTTGCTTGTTTTTGTTTGTTTCTGATCAATCCGATCATCAGTCGATCAGTATTTGAGTGTGAGGTTCAGCTAAAGAGCTGCAGTAGTGTTAAAAGCAGAGTGAAAAAACAGGAAACATCTGAACTAACAGTCAAAGGATGTGGTTTTATTGGCTGTGTTAGCACCAGACAGAGATCACACTGCAGGTGATCTGCTGTGATCTGCAAGCTGTACAGAAACAAAGTAGCTGAATGTTTCTATTTTTTACATCAGCAGCAGCAATGTTTCAGAAATTCCTACATGAATGCCCATTTTCAGATTTAGGCTTCCTTCCTTAAAATCAAATAATTTAGTGTTTCTTTACATGTTCAGTTCTTATTAAACTGATGATTGGTTGTTTTGTGTTGCAGTGAAACCTCCACATCCTGAGCCTCCTACGACTCGTGGTGCAGCAGTGACGACCTCCAAACACCACCTTTCTCTCCTCTCTGCCCCTCTGTTTGTGCTCTTCAGCTCTTTAAAGTAGGCAAAGAGGACTCGTTGTTGTGCTTCTTTGTTTAAGGATAGTCTTCATGCCTTGTTTAAATAACCTTTTATTAACAAAATGACAGTTGACACCTAAAATATGCCGTTTTTTATATTTACCACCACTGCTGCTGTTTCTAAAACAAATATGTGAAAATATCCTCAAGGCTGGCAGGATATATATATATATATATATATATATATATATACCTTATAAACAATCGTTAAGCTTCACTTTGTTTAGAATAGAAATAGAAACATCCTTTATTGTCCCTCATTGGGCCAATTCCGGTAGGACTTCATGTTTACCTACATATTTTACATTTAAGCGGTCTTTATGGGAGCTCAAATATGCAAACATCAGATGTGTGTGAAACTTTAAAGGTGACACAAAGAGCTGAACCAATTTATAAGAGGGGAAAACTTGACTGATTTTAAGGGGGTTTTGCCTACTTTAAACCAAAACAAGACACTTGAAGCTATTTTGACATTTTTTGCTCATATCAGTTAATCCAAATGTTGTATTGCTTCCATTGTCACTGATTTACTTCACTTTGTGTGTTCTCGCAGCTTTTATACCTCAGATTTTATCTGTCAGTAGTCAACACAGTCCAGGTGTCATTTTCTATTTTAGCATGACTTTAGTGTATTTATATACCCCAAATTTCCCTCATTTTTAAAGCAGTTTGGACTTCTTGTAATGGATTTTATGGATTTTTTCCCAATATAAATCAGTGAAGTTATGTAAACATACTGGTATTTAAAGGGTTTAAATAAAAAAGAAAATCGGATTAATATTTGATATTTATACAGTACTGTGCAGAAGTTTTAGGCAGGTGTGGAAAAAATGCTGTAAACAAAGAATGCTTTCTGACTATAAATGATTGTTTATTACCCCCAAATGTATTCTGCAGCAGCACAACGGCCCCAAACATACAGCCAAAGTCATTAAGAACTATCTTCAGCATGAAGAAAAACAAGAAGTACTGGTATAGCCCCCACAGAGCCCAGATCTCAACATCATCGAGTGTGTCTGGGATTGAAGAGACAGAAGGATGTGAGGAAGCCTACATCCACAGAAGATCTGTGGTTAGTTTTCCAAGATGTTTGGAACAACCTACCAGCCGAGTTCCTTCAGCCTCTGTGTAAGTGTACCTAGAAGAAGTGATGGGCGGTCACATCAAATACTGATCAGATTTAGATTTCTCTTTTGTTCATTTACTGCATTTTGTTGATTGATGTAAATAAATGATTAACACTTTTTGAAAGCATTCTTTGTTTACAGCAATTCTTCCTCACCTGCCTAAAACTTTTGCTCAGTACTATAGTTCAGGCTGGGGTAGTTTTAAAAGATTAAGTCATTTAAATTGATAAAAAAAAAAAAAAAAAGTAAATAAATAAAAAAATCAATAAAGAAAGAAACTCACAAAACAAAAAAAGGGGAAAAATATTACAATTTAATATTTTTAGAGAGATTTGGGGCAAGGGGCATTTTTTTTGTGTTTGGGGTAAAACGAGTCAGGATTTTTAAGGGTTAGTGAAGACATGAACTAAAAGCATCATACTTGATCCTGCTGTCTCCTGCACACGTACAGTGTATGAATAAATAAGCTCAACTGTTTCTCAGTCACATGATCACATGATGCATGATAACCAGGATTCAAAGAGAAAAACTCAACATTCCCATGTTTGTCAGTGAAAATGTTTAATGTGAAAGTTGCAGAGACTAGACTTTAAAAAGCTCAAACTCTACAGATCCCCCCCCCCCCCCAACACACACACACCCACTCCACCAAAAATATCTTTACAGTACTAACAGAAAAATCTACATTAAATCACAAACAGGAAAAAATGTGCAAACAATAACAATGAAAGTGAGACAATAATTAAAGATACGGGATAAAGAGAGAGAGGAAAGCTGTGGTTATTAATGTGTCCACCAGAGGGAGCCTCAGCTGTTTACCATCACTGACCCACCACCATGAACATCATCACAAACATCTGTCTCCAATGAAACCTTCCTTCTCCTCCTCTTGATGCTCTCTTTGTACCTTTTATCCCTCAGAGGTCAGAGTTCACTTCATTGTGACCATCTTACCACCAGGTGAGCTTTATTCGTGCTTCAGGTGTGCTGTAACCCCGCCCACCTCCAAACACAGTGCCAGTGTTTATGATCAGTGTGTAGATAATGGTCTACATTTCCTCTCCTCATCCTGTGGATTTATTTACTCAATAAATAACATTAATAATAATAATAAATGCTCTTGGATCATCCATAAAAGTATTTAGTCTTTAAATAAAGAAAGAGTCCAGCTCAGTCTGTGTTCGAGGCCTCGCTCCTATCAAGGATTCAGTAGGAGGAAGATGAGGAGCGTGAGGCTGGTGGTGAGATGAAGGTAACCTGCTGTGAAGCTGGAGTCTGCAGATGAAGGTCCAGGAGTCCTCTGAGCTTCAGACACGCAGTGATCTGCATCAGGAGCAAAGAGCAGAGGAGCTCAGAGGGACACGACAACAAAGCTGTGAACATGCTCAGAGAGGAGGAGTAGCTAACCTGACACAGTGAGCTGGATCGTCTCCTTGAGCTTCAGCTGTGGGATGAAGCAGGTGTAGCTGCTGCTGTCTGACAGCTGCAGGTGCTTCAGGAGGATGGAGAAGTTTCCCTGGTTACAGGTGTGAGGGAAGCTCTGCACTCGCCCTCTGAACAGGTGATGTTGGAAGCGAACATACGGGCTGCTGAGGATGATGTCCAGCACAGTCCGGTCCTCTCTGTCCCTCCAGAAAACACCGACTCTGTGAGGCAAACGCCGCAGCTCGGGGCAGACGCACTGCAGCAGGACTTCACCTCCAACCGGGGCGCACACGTGCACCACTCTGCTCACTGACAGACACACAAACACAACAGCAAGCATCGAAACCATGCTGAGGGAGGTTACCTGACACGTAATCTCAGAAAAGCGTAACTACACGTGGGGTCGACACAGCCCTTAATGAATGATTGACATGGAAGGTTACAGTGTAGCGTTAAAAGGGGTTTCCTGCTACATTGTATGTTAGAACGTGGATTTCTCACACCAGCTTAGATCACACTTAAGTCAGCTGAGAGACATAATCTCTCCAGTGTGTCTTGGATCTGCACTACAGACTTTTCAAAGGAGGACATACCTGAAAAATCTCGTCTGGGAGGAGTCAGAGCAGCATCCAGCCGGTTGCCTGAACAAAGTCAACTGCCTCCCTTTGATGTGGAGGCGCAGCAGCTCTACCTTAAGACCCTCTGAATGATTAGGTTAGCTTTCACCCACAGCTCTCTCTTCACCACGATGACGTTCCTCTCTAAACCAAGATACTAAACTTCTCTCCTGCTTTAGTATCATGTGACATCACACAGACGCACCAACATCACCAAAAGTCACCAAAACCAATGACGAGTAAAGACAGTGACTAACGAAGGCTTCAGGAGAAACATCAGCACACTGGAGAAAAATGAGACGCTCCCACCTCACAGAGTGGAAAAACCTGCACTGCATTTAAAACACAACAGAGACAAAGTCTACCCATCTGTCTGATCAGTAACTGCAATCTGATTACTGGACTCTACATAGCTGCGTTGAATTTAAAGTCTTCCTGTTTGATGAGAGAACAGAGGGAGACTCACCTGTGTGTGAGATGATGAAGACGAGGCAGGTGACTGCAGCTCTGTGGACACACAGATGATTAAGGTACACCTGAGTCAGACTCTCATCACAGCTCAGAGGTGTGTTTGTAGGTTTACTTTGGAAAGTCTGAACTGTGAGCAGACCACACGTTAAGGATTTTACTTTGAAAGGATTCTCAGCCTTGCAGCTTCCTCTGTGGGGTCACTGAATGTCTGTGTTAAGAAGTGAAACGCACAAATGTGAGAAACTGCTGCTTCTTACTGTCAGCCTGTCTGTGTCCCTGAGCTTCATGCTCACCTGTCACAGGTAACTCTGAGAGCTCTCCTACCTCTCTTTGAACCTGAGCAGACAGGCTGAGCAAGGCTGGGAGTGAACACCTAAGGACCTGCTGCACGTCACACCTGTGTAAAAGCTCCATGTCCATCCAGCAGGCTCAGTTTCTTCTTCTTC